AAATCCATTCTTCGTTGGAAAAAGGCATACATTTAGAAATTAGATCCACAAAGTTCCAACCAGTTTTAGCACAGCAGAAAGTAGATCCTATCAGCAAACTGCAGCTTAGAATCCTTCCCTTTGATTAAATCAGTCACTTTTTTGAAGCCGGAAAGGCAAGCTCAAGAGTTCAAAAGAGCTAAATATTCATCTTTTTTAAAAAGTGAAATTTTAATAGACTTAAGGTCATTTCATTACAATTAATTTCTTGATGTCATTTCTGCTTAGAAAAGTAAATAAACATAAATATGTTTTAAAAATCCAGAACTTTATATGTATTTTTTAAAAGTAAAAAATAATAAATAAAACTAAAATAGACTAAGATAAACCCATCATTTAAAAAATAAAGGCACCTAATTTCAGGGCTTACCTGTGCATCTGCCAGCATGACATCCTTCAGCATGGGCTGGCCCTTGGGCTCACCATTTTCCATCCTCACATAATGGACCTGGTATCCTCTTATCTGGCCATGCTGTTTATTGGGCACAGGTGAGCGCCATGAGACTTTAACAGATGTTGAGTTGACAGCCTCTACCTCGACTTTGCGAGGAGGACCACTAGGAACTGGAACAACATCATCGGATAAAAGAAAATTATAGGCACTTGTCCCACCCAGTGAGAGCATTTTGTTTACTTAAAAATGGGTAGACCCCACTATGTTTCCTTTGAAGAATACAAACATTTTCAACCAATGAAAATGCTCAACCAATCTGCTCTACCTTTTAAGAAAAGATCAAAAAACATGACCAATGCAAAAAAACAAAATGGAAGAAAAAAAGAGTATCAGAGAAATAGAAAAACATGTAAAAAAAAAATGTACAAAAGCCAAGGAAGATGCTTTGAGGTCCAAAGCATTAAAGCACAAAGAGTATTGCATTGAAATAATAATAAAAACTGATCGTTGATTGTTGTGTGTTTAAAGGTTTCTTTTTTTWAATAGCAGAATAAAAAGATTCTTGATTATATGGATTATCTTCTTTTTCTCATATCAAAGGTATTCCAAATGACAGATGCCAAAAATTGAATGTCGAGCATCATTGTCTCTGAAATATGCAAGACCAAAAAAAGGCAACAAGAAGATAAGAAGGCAGTTTTGAAAAGTTAACTTCAAAATGGAAAAGAAGTGATTACAAAAAGGTCAAGAAAAACTCCGAAGACTTTAGATGGAGGTACAGAGAAAGGCTGGATTGCAAGATCATAGGAAGCAAACTGTCCTTTTAAAAGGAAGAAAATTATTGCATTGAGACTGGGGGGAAAAAATCCCAGGATGCAGCAAAAACAGGTCTTTGGCAAAAAGATTGAAGTAACAGCAATGCTGGGTAAAAAGCTGAGCAGAGAAAAATGAGTAACTGTTAGCCTATCAAAAGACAGCAGACCAAGACTGTGTCAGAAGGGTGCAAATTGACGGAGCGTAGGCAACATACCATCTTCATCCGTTCGAATCAACACGGATAAGCTCTCAGGGCCAGGGCCGACATCTGTGTGGGCAGTCACAGTGATCCGGTATTCAGTCCATTTTTCCAGCTGTTCCAAAAGGTATTTGGTAGTGTCCGAAGGAATTCCCAAAACCTCGTGAGGCTTGTCATCTTCCCCATCCACTGCAGTATACTTGATGGAGTATTCAGTAATAATGCCATTCTGTTTTTCCACTGGTGGAGGTTGCCAACTTACCAAAATACTAGTGGAACTTGGGCTGGTGCAACTAATGTCTTGAGGAGGAGCTGACGGCTCTTATTTTGGTAGTGAGTTAAAGGAGGATTTGAGTGAAAGGACAGGAGTGGTTGGAAAAAAAAAATGATAAAACAAAAGAAAAGGCAAAAATAAATAAACAATAAGGGCAACAAAACAAAAATAAGGCTTTGAAACTTAAAGTTTTAAAGATAAATTTATGTACCTTGGCTTAGTAATATGAATAAACCAAAAAAATGAATAAATGACAAAAAATAAATTGTTAAATAATGAGTGGGGGGAATACATGAAAATGAAACCTTGAGATAATAGAGTCTCAAATAAAATTACCTACCTGAGATTTAAAATTCTTCTCCTACACCAATCCCTCATTATCCCCACCGCCCCCTATACTGACTATCCAGCCCTCCCCCAAGCTGTAAATAATGTTAATTTTTTTAACCTTGAGATTTTTGTGATGATTCACTGATGCCATTTCATGCTCTCACTTCTACATTCTAGAATGAGGACAATTCATATACAATATACAATCATGAAAGCGTTCATATGGGGGGAAATTTATAATAACTTCTAGGTACCCTGCCACTAGTTCCAATGAAAAAGAAAGAAAAGCCCAACAAACATAAAAAAGGTTCACCCTATATCTAAAAACAGTCTGCATGACCGGTTTTAATGAAAAATGTTAACCTGACATTGATCATAGCCCAAATACAGTGAGCATGCAGAATCTATAAAGGATGAGAATGCACAGTCCAAGGTTTACCTACCCGAGGGTAAGATCAGTCTTGTTGATTCTGACTGTAACTTGTACTTACCCTATGTCAGCTTTCAGCTTTTTTTATTATAACTCTTCTTGAGACACCATTGCTAATAAAAAATTAGATCCCACCAGCAAATTTTGGTAAAATCAGTAATAATCATCTATCCCTTTCAAAATGTCAATAAATGCCATTAAAAAGACTTACTTAAAAAAAATCCAAGAATCATCTGGAAAACATATGACTTATGTGCAACATCTCTTTCATTGTGTGCATAATTAATCATATAAAGTGGTTTTATATAAGAGCCAAAAGTTACACTTTTTAATGCCCATTCTAAAATAAACTAGTCACCTTCTGAGCAATTATTTCCATTAAATTAGGAAAACATTATTATTTGAAAAAAAATTAAAAACCCACAAAGGTCAACACAACTACTTTCATCAATTGTTCTTAAAGTTAATAATGTATCTTCCTATGGATGACAAACAAGAGCATATAATGTGTGTTTGTGTGTGTGTGTGTGTGTGTGTGTGTGTGTGTATATATATATATATATATATAGTAATTTTTTGTATTTAAATATCATTTGGGGATATCCTTAGCTTTTTTTTTTTTTTGAGAGGAATGTCTTGGCATGTTGCTCAGGCTGGTCTGCTTAACACCTGGGACTATAGGCTGCCACCATGGCAGCAGGACTGTAAGTCTAATTAGTATGGAGTGCAAGGTATATTAAATTGTTTGGAGGATTATGGCTCTCTCTGAATCTATGTGCCTTAAGTTCATCATTATAGTCAATTAAAATTAAAATCTTCTATTTGACAAAAGAAATCCTATATGACAGCCTTATCAACTTGAAATAAGATTTGCAAAATCACTAGAGTATTATTTTTATTGATTCTGACTCTGAGTTCTTATATCTTAAACTATAAAACTATATATTAGGTGTGGTCATTATCATAGTAAGTTGTTGGTCATATAATACCAAGAACTCATTTGTAATTCTTTTTAAAAAAGGTTATTTGGTTTTTACTAGACTGCTACCTTCAGATCTCCTGGTCTATGAAATTAAGCTCAACACTATGTGAAACTTACTTTAATAGAGTAGGTACCATTTTCATGCAACTACAAAAATTTCATTTTATATCTATACATGTATTTGTGTAAAAAAAAGTTAAGACTTGMGAACCATGCAAAATTAAATACTGAAGAATGTAATATTTCTTTTAACTAAGTGCTCAATTTTAAGAAATTACCTTGAATAATACTATTTATTAGCCTGYCTGAAATTCAAAGCAGATATAAGGAAACTTCATTAATTTACAAGTGTCAGTTTTTAAATGAAAGGAGATTTGGGGGGGGAAATTCATAATCACTACTAGATTAGACCACAGTATTCTAATACTCCTCATATTAATAATCATGTTTTAATTGAGAGAATATGAATGTCATCAAAACACCCTAAAAGGTTTGAAATGTCTATAGAAAATGAAGTGATAAAAGAAGTCTRTATCTGAAAGGAAACTAATCTTTTAAAATACATAAATTTCAATTTGCTGTTAGTCCTAAATATGAAGTCAATAGCATCCCCTTGACAAAATACAATGTATTCATATTGAGATTTATCTACTTCATAAGCTACCATGTCAAAGAGCACAGAAAAAATATTAAACAAAACATATTAAGACAACAACTGTATTAAACTCTTCAATCCAAGGTAAATACTTGTCTCTGATCCAACTAYAGATACTTACTATTAAAAAGCAAACAATAATATTGTGAGCCATCAAACTTTCCATCAAAAACAATGTCCTATGTAACMCTTTATAAAAAATAATCTGTTCTGGGCACAATAAACCCCTATTATCACTAGACTGTGCTTAAGGGTAAAAATTCCAAAACCAATTCAAACCCAAGGAAACAAAATACAATTTAGGATTGCAAATGTTCTTGTGGTCCTTCTGGTTTTATTCAATTTCTCTGAATACAGATTTTCTATGTCCGTTCCCAATTTCCAAATGTACTACTTACAGATTTAATAAGAAACTAGTCGTAAGAGTTGATTGAGCTTTTCTTCTGAGTAGGAACAGATACTGAAATAATGCCTTGTTTCCTAGCACAGGTAAAACTTATGTGCTTTAAAGAGATGAAAGCTGTGTATTTCACTCCATCTTTAGTTTGCTGTTCCCTTTTCTGACTATTTTGCAGTGTTCACAATTTCAGTTTTGCCTTATCGCCCTATAATTCATTCCTTGGGGTCTAACAACTGCTTTCACTTTCTTTTTACCTGTGGAGGTCTACTAACTTCTCTCAAACACTTTCCATTGAGGATAGGAATTCTTTTATTTGGATCAAGTTTGAAAACAACATAAATCATCATGAGATGCTTATGATCACATAGATAACTGGCTAGTTAGCACATTAGCAGGGATGTTTTGTTGGTAGAGCCAAATGCCAGAAATATGTCCTAGTGAATAAAAAAAGGGCAGAAAGTAAACAAAGAGAGACACCTACTTGATTGCATGGTTCTGGCTGATATTTCAGCCGTCGAAGCACCAAGGCCTTGAGGAGAGCGTGCAGACAGACGGAAGTAGTACAGGCTGTTTGGTCTCAACCCCTGTAGCCTGTATGATGTCCCTGGCTCGATGGTAATTCGTTGCTATGAGAAATAAGAGTATTTGATCATCTTCATTAAGATTCATGCAAATTATTTTTTGTTATTGTTTTTTTAAATTTTTAAATTTGTTCTAATCAGTTATACATGACAGTAGAATGCATTTTGACACACTGTACACAAATGGAGCATAACTTCTCATTCCTCTGGCTGTACATGGTGCACAGTCATACCAGTCATGAAATCATATATGTATATAGGGTACTGATGTTGATCTCATTCTACTGTCCTTCCCATCCCCACAGCCCCACCTCACCTCCCCCCTGCACAAGATTCATGCAAATGTTTTTTAATCACACTGTAACATTGGACTCTATCATCAGAATTATAATGTTATCAAAATAGTACAAAAAGAATCCAAAGTGAGCATCAAGGACTATATTTTTATTATATAATAAAAATGTCATGGTTTAAAAAGCAAGTTTCTTTAAAAGATAAGTAAAGCATGGAATAACCAAAGCCTGAGGTCTTTCTAATGTCAGCAGTGTTATGTAAATCCATCAGATAAGAGGCAGACTGAGAGGCTGACACTCAGGAATGTGTTCTAMTCAAAAGATATGTATGTTGCTGTGACACAAACCACAAGAGAAAGTGACACCTGCCTCAATAATAGAAGATGCCAAACCTGTGGCATCTTCTCCCATACATAACTTTCTACAGTCTAAACAGGGGGATAAAAAAATATAACCAGAAGTAGCAACAGTAACTACCAATACAATATACAAGATGTTGCCACAAAAGAGATAAGAATTCCCCAAGTTCTAATAAGATAAACATCAGACATTAGTCACTAAAGGAAGTTGAATAATTTTCATTGAAACCATATCACCACTCCAGGTTCATTCAAAATAATGAGAACTTCCTTTTTATGAATACAAAACCTACATATAGAAAACATATATTCAAACTTTATATATTTTAACATTATCAAGAGAGGTTTGAAATAAGATTTCTTTTATTGAAAAGCTACATCTGTTACATTTTATGCTTAAAATTTGCCATTGAAWTTTATGAGTATCAAGCTTGGATTGAACACTAGCCTGTAGTAAACTTTAAAATGCAAGCAAACATGTAATCTAGTAATGGCATAAATTATCTTAAGGCTTTTATCAAATAGTGTTTGCTAGTCACACAAACAAATCAGTCAAGGGGAATTCAAATACAAAACTAAAGTAAACATCCCTAGGGTATTCTGGCTTGCAAATATAAAAGCTCTCAAAAATTTTAGATTCATTAAACAAGAAAAAAATTCCCTAAAATTTGTAAAGCACAGAAGGTGTGCCAACATTTAAGCATCCATAATATTCTCAAAGGAACTACCATTCTTTTTTAACTATTTGAATTTATTCAGGTTTGTTGGTGGGGAAGACTTAAATTTTAATGCTTATTTATACCTTATAGAAAACACAGCTCAAGTTGTTATCATGAGTACATTGTCATCTTATATTTCAATTATGTAATTTTTGAGTGCTTAATTTATATTGGCTTTGTAAGATAATTCTAACAGCAATACATTGAAAAAGTTTTCTTCTGAGATTTTGCTCAATTTAAAGTGATAGAATAAATATAGAAGTTTATAAAATCAGATGAATTTAGTATAGCATTTCAATGAGTTAGTTTATAATAATCATTTAACATGCAAGTTTTAAAAAAATTTATTCCTTGTTACAATTTGGGGATAATTCAGCTTTTTGAAGACTTTTTGTTAGTCAACGAATGCTAAGAGTTCTAATAAAATGACTTATAAAGATTGAGTTCTCAAATAATATTTCACCAACACCTTTGTCCTAATATTCCCTAATGGATTTTACAATAAAAAGGGAAACATATTCATTATGATTACATATTCCTATTCTAAGAACGCTCCTTTTTTTTTCCAGGTCTGAGTATCAAATGCAAGACTTTATACATGCAAGGTAAGTGCTCTACCACGGAGCTATACCTTCCACCCTTGCTGTAACTTAATATCCGTTTCTATCATCAATGTAAGAGTGCAATCACAGAGGCAGTAGACCCTGATGATTAAGAACACCTGGAATCTATTTGCTCCAATTCACATCCACGCTCTGTAGGTCAGTAAGTACTATAAACTTGGGTAAATCATTTAATTTTTTTCCTGTGTACCTGCTTTGTTATAAGGACAGTGTTGTTATAAGGGTTAAATGAATTAAGATGCGAAACTCTTAGTACAGGATCAGTTAATATAAGTACTCATTGTATTGACTTTTGGTTCACACTTTCAATAATCCACTATCATTGTAGCTGCACAGCATACTAACACCTTTACACACACACACACACACACACACACACACACACTCACACACACATACATATTGATATCAAATACTTTTTAGTGTACTAATAAACATTTACTATGGGGCATCTTTCACTAAAACCAGTCTGGACAAATGAACAAATCCATTTCTTCAGTGACTTTGATTAGTGTACAGCACTCATTCAATCATGAAACTCCACATTGATATAAATAATATAAAAGATAAAGGAAGTCCCCAAGTTTTATGGCTATCTATTCTTCTCTGACCTTTACCTCTGTAATATGAATCTTGGAAACCTAAATGGAAAAGCATTCCAATAGGAGCAATGATTTTGTTTTTCTTCCCCAAAACATTTCTGCCCCCACCCCAACCTGTTTTTCTAAGTCAAGTTCCTCTTAYAATGAATAATTTTTCTCCAGGAAGGTCCTCTACAGCTGTCTGACCAAGACTCTCAACAAGTCCATGGAGGTAAAGCAGAGGCCTCAAGGCAACAAATAACAATGTAGGTGAGAAGCATGGTCTTACCTCCTCACCGTGCTCTCCATCCTTGTAGACCAGTTCATAGCTGGCRATGGTATCAGAACGTGGAGGTGTCCAGGACAGCAAAATGCTTGTTTCAGACTCAGGTTCTGCTTTGAAGTTCAGTGGCTGCCCTGGTACTAAAAATAGGGAGACAAAGGATTGAACTCACCATCACCATGAGTAGTCACAAAGCCTTCCCAAGCACATCCACCTAACCCTTCAAAATACATCTAACTGCATAATAAGCTTCATGAGACCTGGATAACTTGTACTGTCCAAATTAACCTCTTTGTGCACAGCTCATTTTTGTCCCTCCAAAGTTCAAGAACGTGATAAATACTATCCTTGTCCTTATAAGCAGTTTAATATGTACACAGATGCAGGAAAATTTAAAAGTACATTATGCATGTATGTCTCTGGATTCAATTTTAAGGACAATAAAATGATAAACTTTTAATACTATTGTAAGAAATGAGATTACTTACACAGTGCCATGTTGCAATATTTAAAACAAGTGCTAAATACATAAAAGTTGTTATTTATAACTCAGGGAAACTTATTCTCTAGCACTACATGTATTATTCAAGCTTATTTCCAGTTAGGTTTATAAAAATCTCACCTTTACTCCATTAACAAACTACAGAAAACCAAAAATCACCTAGTATTTTTCTTACCAACTCACATTTGGAAAAAGAGATGAAAATGGAGAAATGAAGAAAAAAAGCCCCACACCATTAATTATAACTACTTCTCTTAAATTATTTTAAATTGTTTAATGCATTAGACACAATACAAACATAATAGTTCTTGTAGTGGCATGTAACAGAGGTTTTCTGTAATTCTCACATTAGTCACATAATCTATGTAATAGATATAATTTAGTAAAGCCACCTATCAGAATTAATGAGAACAGGAAGTGTGTTCAGTTTATGGCACCTTATTCAAGGAAGTTTTACTAACCCAAACTTCCTAGTCAATATCTAACCATCTTATGGTTCCCTATCCATTAAACATAAAACTGATGTATGTCAAGGTATTACTAACACATCTAAGTATATTAAATTGCTCTTCAATGATTTCTGCTGATTGGCTAAGATTGGCACGGGCCTTGGCAATCGCTAAGTATTTTAACCAATGCTGTGGATATTATGTTGTGTTTCCATATGCAAGACCTGAACATATGTCCAATTCCCCACAAGTTCACGTGAGAATTCGGTGGATATTTTATTTAAAAAAAATACTTAACACCAGAAGGGAAAGAAGTTCTAAAGTATGCTTTCTGGCAAGGTAGGCATAAACATTCTAAGACACATATATAAACTAATATGATTTTTAGCTAAAATATAACTTTTAAAATAATGCTTGAAGTATCATTTTGTAGAAAAAAATATACACAGAAATATATCCTTCTTTTTCTTTTTACAGCCATGTCTCTGTAGTCTGACTAAGGGGGGGATAAATAGAAGCCCTTCATTTAGAGATTATAAATCTAAAGGGGTCTCAAAGTGATTACTGGGGTCCCTAGTGACTATTCTATTCCTCTGTCTGTTTGTCAGCCTGCATCTGTGTGTACTCCATAGGGTTCAGGGACACACTCATGTTTGTACTGATGCAGCCACAAATAATCAGTGTCTTATATTTCTATTTGCCTTCCTTATCTTCTATCACAAGCCTTGTGATTTCTCATTAATTTGTTGCCTCCAGGAACTTATTTTCTGAACAGTGTATCAAATTTTTTTTTTCAAGTATGTCCCCAGAAGGTAACCTAAGACAATCATTCGAATTGAGAGGAAAAGATAAAAGATAAAAAGATCAAGGAGCAAGAGAGAGAAACAAAGGGGAATTAAAAATAGGCAAATCACCAAATAAAAATAAATAAATAAATGTGTGTGTGTATGTGTGTGTATATATATAAATATAATTTCTAAAAAGAGAATTACCAAAGGCAACAACAGGAAGCCAGGAAGAATCAGATGGGAAAATTATGATTGGATTATAATACCTAGATGACGAAAGAGTTTTTCAGCCTAAAAATACACAACCAATCATGTGTATGTAGCTACTCATATTTGTCTACTTTTATTTTTTTCTTTCCCCTAATTTCCACAATTCTGGGAAAGAAAGCCTGTGTTAACTCATCACTCAAACCAAAGTAGAATACAGTACAATGTCAAGTATTAGAACTATGTACAATATTGAAGGGCTGCTCTCAAGAAAACAAAGTTTTTTTATAAATTTCCTCCCTGTCCAATGCTAATAATAAACTGACACTGAAAACATCTTGGAAACCTAATTAAGTTTTTCTTACTTAAACTGTTTACTTTTTGTTTTTAATTTGTCTTGAACAAATTCCTAGTTAGTGTCAATGTTTCATTCTTATTTAGTGACACAAGCTTCGTCCAACCTTCCATTTGGTTCTATCAGGAGTCCCTTCCTTCTTAATAATGAATCAAATGAGCACATCAAAGTCTCAGAGGGTGAACCGTGATTTCTGTTTTGTTTTACTCTTGGACAAAGTAATTGTTGACTAGATGAACTGATGTTAAGATTCTCTATCTAACATGCAGAGGTTTAGAGAGAAAAATCATTTATTAGATTTTAAGCTTGTAGTGGAAACACACATGCCTAGAGGTATCAGGCAAATAATTAGATGAGTAAACATACTATATGGGGCCTCAAACCAACAGGAGAGTAGCTTCCTCACCTGAACAGGGATAAAAGATCAAATTCAGTGCCTGCAGGTGTCTGCCTTGTACAATATGAGTCAAGTTTTCCCCCATCGTCTGATTTTTTTTTTTTCCAACAGAAATTGCTAAGAAATCTTGTAGGTAAAATTTTCCAATTTTTAATGATGTATTATTAATTAATTTTGAAAAAAAACTGCATAGTGTAAAATTTGTCTGTAGACTAAATTCAGCATATGGATCAAATGGCTTAAATTATCTTTTTATTATATGAGGCTTGAGGGCTACTCAAACGTTCTTGGGAATTGAAGATCTACATAAAGATTTCATTCATTGGCATTTTGTTATATTGGAAACAACTAACATAAAACTGAGCACTCAAGAAAAAAAAAGATTGTCAAATGAATGGATATATATTTTTACTTACAAAGTAATCTTAATGATCATAATATAGATATACAGGAAAACACTTTAGAGGACTCCAGACTTTCACATTTGGTTTTGTAGCACCACTTGGGAGACACTACAAATAGTTTCTTCATCAGTCAACTGAATTATTATACCAAACACTAAAGCTACAGAGGTTCTGTTTTACATTAATACTCATGCTTTTCTTTATATGTTTTATATGTATTTATATATATTTATATAAAACATATACATAATTATGAACATTTATATATAAACTTACTTATATGCATATTTACATATCCCTTATGATCTGTCTTGCATATTTATATACATATGTGTATCTTAAGCTCCCAGTCTTTAAACTTTACATTTATTTGTATTCTTTTATAGTTACTACTTCTTTTTTTGTCTTTTTACATGTACTTTTTTTTGCATTACAATTCTTACTACACATATATGCCACAATTTTTCATATTTGTTTGTATATAAAGTATGTTGACACCCAATTTGTGTCTTCATACATGTATTTCAGATAATGATGTCCATCACATTCCACCATCCTTGCTAATCCCCTGCCCTCTCCCTTTCCCTCCCACCCTTCTTCCCTATCTAGAATTCATCTATTCTTCCCATGCTCCCCCTCCCTACCCCACTATGAGTCATTTATTTGTTGACTTATTCTTCTTTTAAAGAATGAACTCCATGCAGTAAACTYTCCTCTTAGAACTGCTTTCATAGTGTCCCATAGATTTCAATATGTTGTGTCTATGTTCTCATTTACTTCTAAGAATTTTTTAATCTCCTCTTTGATGTCTTCTGCAAAAACACATTGTTCATTCAGTAGCATATTGTTTAGCCTCCAGGTGTTGGAATAATTTTATTTTTTATTTTGTCATTGATTTCCAGTTTCATTCCATTATGATCTGATAAAATACATAGAAGTATCTCTACTTTTCTGTATTTGCTAAGAGTTGCTTTGTGGCATAGTATATGGTCTATTTTAGAGAAGAATCTATGTGCTGCTGAGAAGAAAGTGTATCCGCATGATGCAGGTTGAAATATTCTATATCTGTCAGTTAAGTCTAAGTTATTAATTATACTATTGAGTTCTACAGATTCTTTATTCAACTTTTGTTTTGAATATCTATCCAGTAGTGAGAGAGGTGTGGTAAAGTCACCCAAGATTATTGTGTGGTAATCAATTTATGTTTTTTTATACTTACTGCTTTTATAGTTACTACTTTTTTCTCTGAGTACTTTATTTACCAGTTTTTCTGTGTTGTAACATTTCCCTCACTGATTAACTAAACATCAATTATATGATAAAAATATGAGATCCTTGAAACTTAAAAGGAAATAAACAGACTGCATCTAGAACATTGAAAATAATCTCTCCACATTAAAAAGATGTGAGAATACTGTCCATGTGCAAAATGTACAATCAAATATGGAAAGCTAAAATGAAAATGCAATACAAATTTTTCTTTAAAATCACATTTTAAAAATCACTATGTCCTGTACATTCATGTGCTCTTTCTTGATTACTTACTGAATAGCCACAAGGAAATAAAAATATGAGCTGTCAAGTCCTTAAAAATGAGATTATAATCCTATTGATAAATGTCAAGTAGTTGATTATTACAATTATATTCTACATAAATATCTGAAGGCAACTCAGTGACAGGATGAAGACAGACTGAGAAATGCATGAAAAATACTTTATTTCATTTGAAATGCTGATATATTAGAAGGGATCAATGTTTGAGTAAAACTTAGGTAATATCTCCAGATAAAGCCTGTCACATATTACATTGCTAAACTATAATTTTATTTGACATGTTATAAATATGAAATATTACCAAAGATACTAGAAAACCTATTATTGCTCAAAGAGCTAATACTTTAACAAGGCACATATTTAAAAATGTGTTTACCTAGCATATTGATAAATGATAATAATAACAATAAAAGCAACAGCCAGAATTATGGTTGTAGTAAAACCAAATTCAAAACAAAGAGTCATCTGTAAGTGCCATACAAAA